AATAGGCGAGGAATTTTCAAACAAAGACAACCATGAGTGCAGATGCACTAACACACACATGTACACACACGCATACACAAAGACACACACACACACACACACACACACACACATACAAACATGCTTACACAAAGACACACACGCGCATACAAACATGCTTACAAAAAGACACACACACGCATACAAACATGCTTACAAAAAGACACACACACACATACAAAAAAGCATACACAAAGACACACACACACATACAAACATGCATACACAAAGACACACATACACACACATACAAACATGCATACACAAAGACACACATACACACACATACAAACATGCATACACAAAAACACACGCACCCATACAAACATAAATACACAAAGACACACACACACACATACAAACATATATACGCAAAGACACACTTACACACACACATACAAACATGCATACACAAACACACACACACGCACACGTACAACACACACGCACACACATACACATCTTGAACACATACATAACATACACACACACACACACACACACACACACACACACACACACACGGACACTTCATTATTCGAATATAAACAGAGTCCCCATTGCTTGGTTCATATTGACACAATATCGGCTACCGTTCTTTTTCACCCACACACAAACTTTCTGAATGCTTTTGAATGGATAGAGTTACATGCTTTTCCGTCACCTTCTCCACAAGCAACACTTAATGAGTTGGCCTAGCGTTCTTCTGCCAGTCAATATGTCGAGTTTTGCTTTAACTCTTACACACTATTTATCTGTTGTTGTTCATCGCCACTTCTTTCTCTCCTCCTCCAATCTCTCTCTGTCTGTCTTTCTATTTGTCTGTCTGTCTGTCTTTCTTTCTGTCTCTATCTATCTATCTATCTATCTATCTATCTATCTATCTATCTATCCATCTATCTATCTATCCATCTATATTTTTCTTTTTATCTGTCTTACACAAATTTGCACTAGATGAATTAAGGATTTCCCAAAAGTCAAGATATGTGTACACGTGTTTTTTTTAATGTACTCATCACTAATAAATTTCCAGCATTAATCTCTTTTATCAAATAAAAATATGTGAAACGTTGTAGGTATTAATGTGGTTTCCTTTTTCTTGTTCTGTGTATGTTTCTTATAGAACTTGTCCGCTTTATAAGCAATATTAATTAAAGACAGTGATTATTATGAAAGAAAAAAATTCCTCCTCATTTGTATGATACATTATATTAGAAGTTAAATGTTTGGTTTCTGAAAAGAAAGGGTAAGGAAAAACCAACAGGTATAAATATAATTTATACTGTCAACAATACAAGCAATTTTAACATTGTCCTGTGTGTGAGGGTGACTTGATTTTGTACGTCCTTCAGATGACAGTTTGTGTGTGTTCATGGGTGTGCAGTAAGTGTGTTTGTCTGTCTGTCTGTGTGTGTGTTTACGTGTGTGTGTGTGTGTGTGTGTGTGTGTGTGTGTGTGTGTGTGACAGAGAGAGAGAG